ACCAGCTTCATCACTGTGTGGGTCACGCGAGTGTTTTCCCCTTTCGGGCTCTGTCTTTACATTTATTTTGAAAGATGAAGCTCGGGATTATGGTAAGGGGCGTTACATTTCCGACGCGTGCTTGCAGACTGCGCTTGTCGGAAGGCGGGACTTTGTAGAAAACGAAGCGTTTGAGAGAGGCGGGGCATAGAGGACCTAAAATAATGTACAGTATTTGAAAAATAATGTGTTTTTTGAACATTAATGCATGTCAACATATTATGTTACACCAAATACACAAAATAATGATCTTTAAAAAAGCATCATATGACCCCTTTAACAAATTCTCATTTAGTTACTCAGAAATGACTAGAAACATCACTGAAAAGTCATGAATGAAAAAGTGTGGGAATCTTGATAGGAACAGCATGGTACTTTCCACAAACGATCACGGTCTCTACTGTCAGTTTTTTTGTAAGGGGTACAGTACACTAGCAGTATTTACTCTATGGAAACCAAATAGTTCATGGTGTTTTAAACCGTTTTGTGGTTCGTTCTTAATAAATATATCAATTAATTAAATCAGTCATTTCTTGAGATGATAAAATTGAGCCTTTTTTCCCCATTGGTCATGCTCTCTGGAATCAAAAGCCATTAATGGACTTGCCTTGTGGCCGTTTCCCATGTGCTTTTCAGGACGGATGTGGGAAAAGGAATTATACCATCAACAAAGCCTACATCTTTATATGCACAAGCCATTTTCATTATTTGTTTTTTTGTTTTTTTTTGTTCTTTAGAAGGACACATTAGACTGCATTTATTCCTCGTTATCGGCTCGGCAGCAATTTGCCGTAATCTAACTCCTTTGCATTGGTTTGTGGTGTTTACTGATTCTGATATCTGTGCGGGCACAATACTCGCTTTGCAGATGGTTCTCCTCATCAACATGGCCACAGAGACGTTAGTGAGAAACCTGAAGAGCCACGCTGAGTCCGGTAACAGCTTTAACATTCACAAGTACGAGTTTCTTTCAACATGTGTGCGCACATCTGTTTCTTTGATTATGTCAGAGCTTTTAATAATATAATACACGTTTGTTTTGCAGGTGCTTCGGCTGCTTCACGATGGACGTAATTGCCAGTGTGGCGTTTGGTACGCAGGTGGACTCTCAGAACAATCCGGATGATCCTTTTGTGAACCACGCCTCCAAGTTCTTCGCTTTCACCTTCTTCAAACCCATCATGATATTCTTCAGTACGTTAAACCAGTGCAGGCAGCATTCATTTTGGTCTCATTATTGTAGACAGGATATCACAGCTTGGAAAGTGCTTCCGACAGATGATAATATGAAACTCATTTTCATTATGCTGATATTTCGATTAGCATATTTATTATACAAGTAAGAGGAAAAAGTACAGTTTTCTGACTGTCGTTTTTCCTGCAGTGGCTTTTCCATTTCTGCTTAAGCCTCTTGCTGGTCTCCTTCCCAATAAATCAAGAGATGAGATGAACAGCTTTTTTATCAAATGTATTCAGAAGATGATTAAACAGAGAGATGATCTTCCCCCAGAACAGGTATGGCCGTGAACAATGAAATTATTTAATAATTCCTCAGTATCAACCAGATAAACATGTTTGTGATCTGCTTGTCTACAGCGGAGGCGAGACTTTCTGCAGCTGATGCTGGACGTCAGGGCCAGCAACAAGTATTTGTCTTTGGAGCACTTTGATGTGGTCAATGACGCAGATGAACAGGCTTGCACCGAACAGGGGATGGACAACGGACAGGAAAATGGACCTGGAAACGAGTCCACCAAGCGCGCCCAGCAGAAGAGAATGATGACAGAGGATGAGGTTGTCGGTCAGTCCTTCATCTTCCTGTTGGCTGGCTATGAGACGAGCAGCAACACACTAGCGTTCACGTGCTACCTGTTAGCACTCCATCCAGAGTGCCAGAAAAAACTCCAAGAGGAAGTAGATGAATTCTTCAGCAGACACGTGAGTCAGGATTTAAATGCCCGTTGCACTTGGAAACCAACATTTATTTCATTCTTATTTTGAGAATGCTTCTTTATTTAATGTTATGCACAAATAATTTATGGACTAAGTGACATTCTCTGCAATTTTTGTCCTATTAGTTCTGCTGTGGGTACCCATAAATGCCGTTATGATTCAGAAAATGCTTTTTTGAAATATTTTGTCTTTGTCCTCCATCTCTACGTGAAGCATTCTCTGCTTTTTAGTGGGTTGCTTTGTTTCTTCCCATTAGTTTTGAAGGTCTGCATGAGCCAGCCCGGCGCATTTCTCAGAAACCGTTTACTATCAGGACCGTTGATTAAATTTACAAGGACGGAAACAAATGTTTTATGGGTGAGCTGTATCTCAGCGCGCATAATGGGTAGGATAAACCATAGAGCAGTGGTTTTCACTATAAAGTGCTGGGGATCCTTAAAGTTCAGAGAAAAATCTCTCTCCTCAACGAGCTAAAAAGCAAGTTAATATTTAGGGTTTGGGGTTTGTTGAAATCCCTAACACTAGCTATAGTGGTACTTGGTTTAGCAAAGACTACTAATAAAGTGAAAGACAGCCAGACGGGTTACATTTAAAACAATTCAGAAAAGCTGCAGCACTGGGATAGTTATAAGAGGCTTGTATAAGCGCTCGGTTTACAATATATCTGCTTGGATAATTTACTCTCCTTTATAAATATAGTGGCGGTTTGCAGTGATGATGGTGGTTCTGCTGATTTTATGTCTTATGTTTGTGCATAATGTGCATACTCGTGAGAGAGACAGAGAGGAATTCTTGATTGATTCTTAAGTGACATTCTCTGCAATTTTTGTCCTATTAGTTCTGCTGTGGGTACCCATAAATGCCGTTATGATTCAGAAAATGCTTTTTTGAAATATTTTGTCTTTGTCCTCCATCTCTACGTGAAGCATTCTCTGCTTTTTAGTGGGTTGCTTTGTTTCTTCCCATTAGTTTTGAAGGTCTGCATGAGCCAGCCCGGCGCATTTCTCAGAAACC